AGTTAGTCATCTGGTCCAGTAGAGGGTGCAATGCTGCAGTGATCATCTTGGAGATATCTGTGGTTACTTCCAGCCTGGAAGTCGGAGACGATGAGCTGGCAGTTCCTGAAGAAGCTTTCACTCTGGGCGCCATTTTTCACCCTGATGAGACATTGTTTACATTAAAGGTTAAAGTTTTTTACTGCTTCTGAAAGTTTTTTGAAGTAGAGGATTTTTTTTAGTCTGCAAACCAGTCTGTTGAATTAACATTCTCCCATCAAAGCCACCATTTTGTCCCCCGCTTTCTTTCTTTTTCAGCTGCTTTTCCCGGGGTAGGGTAGCCTCCCCCCCCATTTGGGGCTTTTTGAGCAATTTTGTGAGTTTGCCAAATACTCACTCATGCTTTACTCCTCGGCTTGCACCCAGAAACAGGGAAAGTCTCTTAATACCAGATCTTCTGCTCGGTCGTTCCGGTACGCTTCTTTAAGTCCATGGCTGGTCTTGCACCAGTGGGACCTATTGGGGCAAAAGGAAGCCTTGATCCTTTGGCCGTCGCCTTGGGAGAGGCTTCCCTCGTGCCCCAGGCTACGAGCCCTCTCCAAGGGTTCTGCCCCCCCCAGAATATTCTGGGACCCCTCCTGTCTGGTGCAATTGTGGGCCACTCTCATCAGAGCTACGATGGAGCGCATCCGCCAGCAAGACGCCAAAGCCGGAAGTTCCAAAGCAGCCATTTTCTCCAGGGGAACTGATCTCTGTTGCCTGAATATTAGTTCTAATTCCAGGAGATCTCCAGGTCCGACCTGCAGGCTGGCAACCTTAGGTTAAGTTCCCAGCTCACATCTTGCAATGTAGAATTAGGGAAAACATAAAATGTAGGCCTGTACACAGTATAAGATCCCTTCCTACTTTATACTGTACCTTCAAAAGCCTCTCACAACTCAGGAGGGCTTCAACCTTTGACAAAATCAAGTATTAATATATGTGGTATTTTGATTATCACAAATTCTTATAGGGACATGTGAAAAATATACTAGATAGGTCTGTCAGTTTCTTCCCGGGACATATATTCTGCCACATTCACCAACAATTCTTCCCAATTTTAAAAAACAACCCCCCCCAAACGTCATTAAGCACAATATTCCAAGTAAGTTTTGATTTCTGTGCATTGCAATCTCCTGATTGTCACAGTGCAATCCTAAGAACATTTTCCTGGGAGTAGCCCTGCTAAATAGATTTCAGTAGGATTAAGTATACCTATTTAGGATCACTCTGTTTTACTACTCTGTTGAATGGTTCATCCTCCTGATTATACAAAATCTGGAATATAACGTATATGCAGAATTGCCATGTACAGAAGAAATAAACTGTTGCTCAGAGGACATGAGCTGCGTCATTTGTACAAGCTGGAGCTGTCCACTGCACTTTCATATGTGTACGAATGTAAACCGAGGATGAATAGTGTCCATGCTTCATGTGTGTGAAGGGAGCTAAGTATTAATACTCTTTAGTCAGCAGATGGCAGTGTTAGTTTCATTTTTAATGTATCACCTATTCCTGGCTTGCTTTTCTCTCCAAGGGAAAAGATCCAGACCCTCCTTGTAATTAAAGCAGCATGTTAGGGAATAGCATGTATCTCCTAACGTGCAAGTTTCTGCTTTTAAAGGCATTGTTCAAGGCATAGCCACAGTGGTCAGCTGAATAACTGGAAATAACTCTCCCTTCTGACTGAACTCCATAAAGAAAATGAAGTGGAAATACTGGAAGTGGATCATCAGTAGCCCCACAAAAATATGAACAATTTTGCCATGTTCTGTTTGTAAAAAATGGTGGAAATGGGGGCAGGAAATTATATGGTTGGTAGATGTTTTCTTCCTATGTGACTGTGCTGGGAAATTTCTGGTATAAGAATTGGAGTGGCCATTTTTTGCAGGCTGTCATTGATTAATAATTCCCATTTTACATTCAGTTATGAGGGAGAATGATCACCAACAAGAATGCCAAGAGAGAAGCAAGTTTGACAACAAATTGTATAACCCTTATTAGTAACCTGAAAGGCATCAGAATTCCAGCTGCTGTAACCCAAAGTGCCATCACAGTATCAGTATAATTATTTCACAGATTCTAAATGTTTCCATTATAATAATAGTAATAAAAATAAGAATGCAGTTAGAATCCTGAAATAAACAAAAATACAATGAGATTTGAAAATGAACCTTCATATGCACTGGGTTTCTGAATTCTTCACACCCACTGACCCACACACCCCGATCAAGATCTCCTCTGTAATCATGAAGACCAGAAACTTGCTTCTAAGCATTCTAATAAAAATCAGAATGGCTTTTTAATTAGTTTATTAGTTTATATTGATTCATCTGACTGCAAAAGGCCTGAGCTTACCGAAGCCATGACCCCTTGGAAGGAATTTCTGCTTACTTTCTGAGTTGACTAGGATAAAAGGCTAGCATCTGATGTGACACCAGTAGTTTTCTCCAGTGTTTGGCTTCTTGCACTATGAAAGTAGCCAAAGGTTAGCTGGTAGATAACAGTCATCATTCTGCTGCTCACAGAAAAGTTTTCTGAAGCAAAGTGAGCTAGTCAAAAGAGGTGTTATACAAGTTAGTGCCTGTTCTTGCGTTACTGGAGGGATGAGGCGGCTGCCCCAATGGCTTTGCTGTCATGCCGCTTCTGTAATGTTTGGGTGAGAATGCTGCTGTGTGTCACTGAAAACAAAAGAATAGTTCTCTGTCTTGGACTAAAAATCCATCTGAATCAGTGTTTTTCATGTAACAGTGGCCAGCCAGGTGCTTGTGGGAAACAGTGCGTGAAGGCAATCATCCTTCTCTACAGTCTGGTCCCAGGATCTGGTTCTGTCTATTTCAGTAATCAGTACAGCCCGTGTCATTATTCACATATTGCCACCCATGAGGTCAGACTTGCACACATGTTTGCCAGCCCTTATCCTTCCATTTCATTCTCTGCTATGATCCTACTGTTGTAAGAACACAATTTTTGTTACCTTTCCTCATGGTAGTTTTCAAGCTCAGTAGCTGGGAGAACCCTCAGGCATGTTTACATCCAGCCTACATTGGGAGCACACAGAGCACATATGCCTCAGGCCCTGGGCAAAATCTTCTTCCCTACCAGTTTTTTTAAATGGAAAGCTGGGTTGCATATGCACCACAAACTGATTGAAGCAAAACCCATTTAAGCTTCATGTGTGGAAATTCTTATAGAAATGGTAGAGAATTCCTACTACAGCAGCCTTCCCTTGTTAAGCAGATTGTTTAGAAGGCCCTTGAGCAGACATGGTACTGAAACATCCACTAACTCTTTGCTGCTTCTCATAAATCTCTGTTAAGGTATTATGCTTTCCATTGGAGCTCTGTGGGGTCAGGAGGTCTGTTCTTAGCTAGTGATTTGTTGCCTGTTGCCTGATCATCTTACTTCCTTGCATTTGCTTGTCCATATCTTATTACAAATGCAAAGTATCCTATCAGAGCCAGTTTGACATCTATCACTTTAACCACCTTTCTAGATGATACAGATTGAGTTTCATGCACTCCTTTCCAATGTGAAGTCTATTGATTAGCTTAAGGAATACACATTTTTAACTTTAATGCTAAAGACACTATATATTAGCCTTTTAAAAGTGTCTGGTAAAGGGCCTGTCCATACATTTCCCCTTTGGGAATGACCCCAGGCCGGCTCAAGCGATACATTTTGGAACTCTGTGCTTTCCAGATGTGTGTGGATCCAATTTGGATTAGGACCATGATATGTAGGAGAGAGGGTTTAGCCCCTCCCCCGTGTCACTGCTTCCGCAACCTGAAATGACCCCAGGAAACTGCTGTTTGCCCTGTTGTGCAAGTGTAAAGTGTATCTCATTGGTGAGACAAATAGCAATTCTTAGGCTATGGATCAGGAAAATTGGGGTTCGCCCCCCCTAAACATCCTGTATGCTGTGGTCCCAGTCTAAATAGGGCATCTATGCACCTAGGAAACATGAAATTCCAGAACATTTGTCTCTGATCCAGGGACATCCCCAGGGAAAAAGTAATGTGTAGGTAGAATCACAGATCTGGAAAGAAGCTAAAAGGTCTCCAATGTAGATGGATGGTACTGACATGGATTATAGGGAGAGAAAATCTTTAAGTGATGGTCCCAGTTCACTAAGTGAGTTGTACTAAACAATTAGCCTGGACTTTCAACAGCTTACCATGTGAATGTTGATTTCTAAGACAAGTGTAGCATAGGGACTGGATCTTTGACTGCTGAGTAGCATACAGTAGTCAATATTTTGCCTGTTACACAGTTGTGGAATGCTCAGAACCTCATAACACAATGAAAGCCCTCCCTGACAGCCCTTGTTACAGCCCCATCAGACTGTTTACTTAGAGAGTCCTTGCACTTGGTGGTATCTTGGCACTGTTACTCTGCACACATTTCAGAGTGGCTGTCTTGGATCTGAAGCTCTGCCAGGAAATAAAAGTTGGATTCGTTCCTCAGATTCATCTTTGCAACTATTTTAGGAAAGGCTGAACTTGCCAGGGTCAGAAGGGCGGTGACTCCTTTCCCTTTAACCACATGCTGTCTCTTGCTGGAGAGATTTTATGAGAGCGCTTTTGGGCACTTGCCCCATTGCTCCACTCAGCCTGTAGACCTGACAGCTCTGGACATTATGTTTCAGTCCTTTTTTCATTCCTCTGTTTTATTGACAGCTTTTCCCCAGAGTACAGCAAAATTTGCTAGTTGTCTTCCTCTTGCAGAACAGCACTGGCATCTCTGTATGATTTTAACTAATGTTTGGGTGACAGGTCAGAGCAAGGTTATGTTTATCATTCTTGTTAGAGTGCCAGTTAGATGCCTATCCTGTTAAAAGTGTTCTACTTTTTGCTAAGTGGAACCTTTCTGTGTTGATATTCTATCATGCATATGGCTGCTTTGAAGCCCCAGCTCATGTTAGCACCTTACAAATATAGAACATTAGCAAATCTGGAGACTGGTCACACTGGCAAGTTTAAACAAATGGAGATATTAGGCTGACCAACAGCTATGTTGTTGCTGTAAACAACCTCAGACTTTCCAGTTTACTTACTGCAGGAAGTACACTGAGGAACTCAGAACAATAGTGCTCTTTAGGTGTAGGTAAGTGGCCTTTTTGCTGATGGTTGGAATCAGATGTTGATAAGGTTAGATACTGCTAGTGCTGTTAATAGTGCCTGCCAAAATGTGTGCGCATATGTGAGGCAGACAGGCGGAAACAGTTGAATCCCAGACCATTATAACTTTTTGAAACACCTTATGTTTTAAATGTAGCTGAAGGACAGATAGCCCAATACGGTCATCCCACTGACACCACAGACAAGCCAGTTCAATGTACGTAGTAGGATTATTGCTATTATTATTATTCCTTCTTATTGCCATCATCATTTTACCTGACTCCTGTTACTAGTTTTCTCCCTGCCTCTGTGTTATACAAAATCTGTGCTATTAACTCTCAAGGGCAGAGGTTGGTGGGGAAATGATTTACTATAAAGAGGGTGGGAGTGTTGAGAGACAAGTTATTTATCTTTGTTGTGTGTCAGGATCTTGAGTGAAGTTTAAAAGAGTAATAGAATGATGGCTTCTGAAGGCCAGTTACACCAAATCTCAGATAAAGGAAATCTAATCAGCTGGGAAGTATTTGCAACGAGAAATGTATTGTTACAGCTTAAAGTTGCATTAGAGATTGGTGTTACAATTTCTTCCTCTCCCCCTGTGTTCTCATCTCTGAAAAATCAGGATGTGTGTTAGTCAAGAGTAATACTTAACTTTAATCTCCAAGGAGCAAGAATGGGAGGGCACATAGTATGCAAGGAGCATTGCTGCTTGTAATCAATAGGTTTTGCAGGTTTTTGTGCTGCTTGAAAAGCCTGCAAAACCTGCTTGAAAAGAGGTGACAAAGGGACAAAAGAAATGAGTAAATACATGACATCTGTATCATACTACTTACAGCGATTGTCTGACTTCATTCTCAGCCTATTTTCAGCATACCCAATATGTTAAGTCCTCTGTACAGCATAGAATTCCTATTGTTCCTATCTAGAGTATTTATTGGAATCATACAGAGATGGAAAAAAAGCAGTGAAAAGGGTTGACAGGAGCAGCCAGGTATGCTGTAGTGTAGCAGCAAAAATATATTTACTGAGCTAATAGGCATGTTGAGGCTGGGAGGGCGCTTACAAGAGGGGAGCAATGTGTATGAGGGAGGAGTGCCCCTTTCTGTGCCCACTAAGAACTTAGCTATATATATGCATCCTCCCTAGGTCTGCTCTTGAGTGCTTTCTATTAGACTTGCACTGTGAGTTCCGTAACTGGAACTCTGTCCTCAGCTTCATGGAGACTTGATAAGAACTGCGGTACATTAGGAGAAGCAGCTTAAGCCTTTCCTCTGTATTGTTTTCCCAACTGAAAAAGGTCCCTTGGAGCAGCTATTTACTGCTCCAGTACTGATGGTTACATCTGGGTTTCTCCAGTGGGGCAAATAGGAGCTCCACAGGACTGTTTCAGATTGGGAAAAATTGGTTTAAGATCCTTTCTCCAGTGTTCCTCAATCCTGGTTTGAATCAGGTCCCTGCATGCTTGAAAACTGAGTTCTGAATACAAATCAAAACTTCACATGGAACTTGGGGAGGATACAAAAATGACATATAGTTAGGCTCTAATGCTTGCCTGTACCTATAGGAACCAGTGACATAACGTTATAGGATCACCTGGTTTCCGAAGCCCTCAGAACCTGACCTGGATCCTGAGTCAACAGAACTTGTTGCTGGTGTGAGGACCAAGCTGCTTTCAGGCTCTTTGTTTTAGTTGCAATCAATATTTATGGAAGTCTGATAATCAATATTTTACTAATAAAACAAAAACTGAAAAAGATTTAATGAAACCATCAAGGACATATCTAACTTTCTTTGACTGTGACTGAAGTAGGAATCAGTTTGTGGAATGGTTTGCCAGCTCATTGAAAAGATGGATGACTATATCTATAACAATTCCCTCAAGTTGTGTAGCATCTGTCATACTTGTTGACAAGCATTAGTGCTGTGTGAGTAAAGAAAGTGGAAAAAATGCTGCAAAGCATCCATTAATTGATCCTTACGTAAAGATCTAATTAAAAAATATTGTTCCAATGAGCTTGGACACAAATTAATGTGATCAACGAGAACTCTGTTGATAATTTCAAAGCTTCATTCCAAAGTATGAATTCTAGATCCCCCCAGTTATGGATATGCAGAAACTAGAAATATGCATACAGCATCCTACCTTGTAATATGGTGTTGGGCTTTTTGGTCTGTGATCATGAGCTTGGAATGCAGAGGACATTCATTTGGATAGGGACTTCTTATAGATCAGCTATACCAACAGACAAGCCATTAATTTCTGAAATAAATTCAATGAAACCTTAGCCTGTCTGTTTTCATGAAGCTAACTCTGCCTATATTTCTTGCTTCATATCTAGTTTATGATTTTCTTAATGTCTCCTTCCCAAGATCATACCCTTTCCTTCTAAACTGAGATTAATTCAAGACTCTGTCATGCAAGACAAAAATAGGTATATTTTACTGGGACCAAGGGTCTAGGGAAACTAAACCTGTGTTACAAGTGTGTTACTATGGTATGGTCAACATCACAATTCAGAAATAGACAAGAGCTTTCACAATTTATGAACTTTTAAGTGCATGAAAAAACCAGGAAGAGGAGACTTGAGTTGCAAATCTGTACCAGGTCCACAGAAATTATATTTAGTCCCCGGATGATTTAGCTGCCATGCTGTGGAATTCTATTTAAAACTAGTGATACAAATGAGAAATCTTGTTTCATAGATAAAGAAAAAACAGCCCCCTTTCCCCATATTAATACCACTGTCATGAAATTTGAATTTCGTGCATCTGAGACTCCAGGATGCAGTAGTAATATGTCTAAGCAGCAACGTGACTCAGCTGATGTTATTTTTTCTTACTTGGCCCTGTGGATGTGTAAAGTGACTATGCAATTTGGGCAACACCTGCATGGTCTTCTAGTAGCAGCTACACTTCGTCAGTACTTGATATGATACATCAGCACTTGATATGATGGAGAGCGAACTGATTGATTTTAAATTTCTTGAGTGATGTATCCCCATACAACCACAGAGAGATCAAGTAACAGAAAAAAAAAATTGATCTCTTCCATCTTTTATCACAACCTGAAACCTTAGGTACAAGTGGAAAGTGTATGTGCTTCTTTTTTTCTCTCTCCACTCAGCCAGCCTGTATGGAGGCAGCAGCCACGGGCTGAGCTTTTGAGTGGTCAGGAAACCAGGGAAAATGGCCAAAATCCAAGTTCTCCAGGGGCCCATGATAAGGGAAAACAAAGTCATCTTCACATAGTTTCTTCAGTGGATCATGGTATGAAGCTCTGAAGTGTGAAAGGGTGGGGTATATGTACGAGCTAGATTATGAAATTACCTTTTCCAAGGCCCATCATTTCTTTTAAGATGCCCTGGGGAGGGGAAAGAAGCAGGCAGTGGTTTAGCCTACTATTCACTGAACAGGTGAAACTTTATGATGATTGAAGGGTAGAAATACATGTTCCACTGAGAGATCCATGACTAATCTCCTGACTTTTTGAAAACCCAAATGCAGCCATAAGGGTGGGACTGCTAATTTGAATGGGGAACCAGACTGGTGGTGTTGTTAAGTCATTCTTTATTCCATAACGAAAATGAGGCAATACTTCTGCCCCCATGTGAAAAAATAGCAGCTTGAATTAGATTACTGAATTTGAGAAGATACTGAAGGTCAAGGATTAAGCATTCCCAGTTCCCCTAGTCCTTCCTTGATAAATTAGAAATTTCCCTTCCTGTACTTTGTTTAACAAAATGTTGGGAAATGGTCACAGAGTCCTGATTGGATTCAGTATAAGGCAGTTTCATGTGTTTGAGGAGAAATAAGAATTTATTTATTTCGATTTCTTAACTGCCCTTCCCCGCTTGCATGGGGCTCAGGGTGGTTTACAACAACATAAAATCCAGTACAGTTTTAAAACCAATTAAAACTATAGAATTCAACATAGATATTTAAACACTTAAAACAATATGGCATATTTAGCATTCAGATCTTCATGGGTGGGGGGAGGGTGCCAGGCAGATGTAAAAGGACCCGTGCAGATGTAAGGACCCGTGCAGCTGCATTTTGTACCAGTTGGAGCTTCCGGGTCAGTCTCAAGGGTAGCCCTACGTATAGCAAGTTACAATAATCCAGCCTGGAGGTGACTGTTGCATGGATTTCTGTGGCAAGGTCGGGGCGAGACAGGTAGGGGGCCAGCTGCCTAACTTGGCACAGTTGGAAAAATGCCCGCCATACAACATTGGCGATCTGGGCTTCCATAGACAGAGCGGGGCCCAAGTTCACCCCCAGGCTCCTGATGATAGGTGCCGGTGTCAGAGGTACCCCATCAAGGGCTGGGAGTTGACTCCCCGATCCTGAATCCCCCCCTCCCAGCCACAGAACCTCCATCTTAGCTGGATTCAGCTTCAACTGGCTTTGCTTCAACCATCCTACCGTGGCCTCCAACCCCTTGGCTAGACTTTTTGAGGGAGAGTCTGGGCGGCCACCCATCAACACGTATAGCATACTGGTGACACCCAAGCCCGAAACTCTGAGCCAGCTGGGTGAGGCCAGCTGGGCAAATTAAACATTTGATTTCTGAAGCTTGTAATTATATAATATTGGAATAAAGTGTTGGACTATGCTTAGAAAGACCTAGTCGCTGTCTACCAGCCTAACATACCAAAAGGGGTTGTTGTGAAGATAAAATGGAGGAGGAGACAATGTCCTTGGAGGACACGTAGATATCGTTAAACCCGCCAGGAACAAAGATGTAATTGACGTATTCTAATGTGACACTCAACAAATGAACCCTGAAAAACATAAAACATCAAATTTAGCTATTGTATTAATGGAAACAACTGCTTTGAAAAGTTGTTTGTATGCTGTATCCCATGTAGTGAGAAAAGCAGAAACAGATTTTGCAGTAGCCATGAATTCAAGTTGACTCATTGATTTGTTGCTTGTATAAATCTGATGAAATCATTGGAGAGGCACTGGGGATGAATCAAACTCAATGTGTTAAACATGAGCATATTGATTGAGGACCAGTAAATTTTCCATGTGTAAATGGGAACTGCTAAGGCCAAGATTACCTGGTACAATAGACTCCAACATGGGAGCTTCTTTGTCAAAGGTGACACCATTATAAATCACTCACTGGCTCCCTTTTTACAATCTTGGACCCATTCTTCTGTGCCTGCTCTCTGTGCTCTTTATAGTATATTGCCAAAAAGATGGGCTTTCATGATCTCTGTTACTAATAGATCATAAAGCTGAGTGATACTATAACAATGCATCATCCAAGGAAGGCATGCCATGACCTAAAGAATAATTCAAAAGCAGATGCCATTTAGGAAAGATGACATCCAGCAGCAGGCTCTGTCGTGTAAGCTGTGTGGAAAACACAGCTAAATGCCCTTCCCCCATCCATGACCTGTGAAATGTACTGCTGCAAAAGTTCACATCCAATAGGGGATTTACCCAAAATATATCTTGTCCAGATATTAGTAATTCAAGCACCTGATTTGCTAGTACAGAGCTGGGTATTTATGGGAGATGATGCAGGTGATAAATTGTCAATGAGTCAGAGGATGAAAGCAAAGATGGTGAAATATGGAGTGCAAGGCTTGAGCAGAGGTTCACATATGCAGGCTTGATTTATATCTAAAACCCAGACAGGAATATAAGTAATGCGTAAGTGGCATGGAGATGAGTTTCTAGTATATTGTACCCTTGGGAGTTGTCTTCAAGACTGTAGGTTTATTCTGGGAAGCTCCTTTGAGACTGATGCACACTGGCACAGTAATCTTGCTCCCATGGGGCTGCCCTTCCTGGGTTAAAGGGTTGAATTCTTTTCTTTGAAAGATAAGTATACTCAAAGAGGAAAAAAATCTGTTTAAGTCCGCAGAAAGGGGTGCTTGCAAGGGATAAAAATAATCAGTCTTGTGGCACCTGAAAGACCAACAAAATTTTACTACAGCATGGTCCACAAAAGTTTATGCTGGAATAAAGGTTTTTTTTTTTTTTAAAGCTTTTAGGTGCCACAAGACACCTGTTTATTTTTGCTGCCATAGACATAAATGTTCATCGGAAAAAAAAAGATTTTGAACTGCATCTCTGGAAATTCTTAGTGAACTGGCTTTTTGAGGTGAACCAATGTTGACAAGTTTACACCTTTGACAATAACATAACAATGAGATTTCAACAAAGAAAATGTATTACCATTCCATTAGAATCTGTAAATTTTGCTCTGTTCAACAAGAGAACTTGAGGTGTCATAAAACATACATTAACACATGGAACTATAATGTAACCCCCCTCCCAAATTAATTCCAATTAAAAGGACAGCACAGTATAATATATGATGGAAGTTGCATAGTCTAGTAATTTAATTTATGTAACTGGCCATTTAGCTGGGAGGTTGTTGTACTACTCAAGACATCCAGCAATGGAAAGACAATGCATGAAATGCTGAAGATGTAGAAAGAGACATTTTAGAGAAGAAAAACTTTAACTCTAGCAATTAAGAGCAGTAAAACAAAAATTTCTACCAAGTGTTACCTAAAAGTTCTAGTAAATGCTAGTTTTAACCTTTCAGTTTTTAAATTACTTGAGGCTGAAGTATCTGAAGGTCTGTGTTCACCCATATGAACCTGGACAGAATCTGAGATGTGCTGGTCTGTCTTGTTGCAGGAATCCTCACTTTCAGAAATGAAGTTGATAGGTGCTTGTGAAGTTGATAGGTGTCTTTTTAACTGTTGCTCCCATTTTGTGGAATTCCTTGCTTCCTGATGTGAGGAAATCCCATTGCATCCTGACTTCCACATGAAAGAGAGAGTCAGTATGGTGTATTGGTTAAATATTAGACTACACTTGAACCCCGATTCAGGCCTCTGTTTGCTATGACATTCAATTGGGTGCCTTTGGGCCAGGCCTTCCCTCTCTGCTTAACCTACATCACAGGTTTATTTTGAGAGTAAAATTGAGGAGGAGATAACTATGCATGTCTTCCTCAGAGGAAGGGCAAGATACAGAAAAAAACTTGAAGACATAAATTAATGACATTTTTGTTCTGAATTGTTTAAAAGATGAAAGACCACTAAGTTGTTAGTTTCCTTGGAATTGTTTGGTGGTGTTTGTGTCTTCTAGCTGTTTCTAAATGTTGAATGTTGGGTCTTTTCTGTGATTTTTTTGGTATGTATTGTGTATTCATATTTAAATTAGTTGTTATTCCTGTTGTTTCAAGCTCCCTTGATTGCTCCTGAGAGCAGAAAAGTGGGATAGGAATGTTCTAAAAAAACTAAAACAAAAGCAGCAGCAGAACTGACAATTCAGAAAGGCCTGTTAAACAGAAACCCCCAAAGGGCGAATAGTGAGCAGGTTTTGGTAGGAAGAAAGACAGGACAAATGCTCAGTAGATTTGGGGGGAAATTCAGTTGGAATAAGAACTGGGGGAAAAATAATAGACGATAAAGAGCCCTGCATCCTCCGAGTAAAGTTCTGTATTTATTTAGACACACGTACCTTGTACTTCTTGGAAAAGTCTTTTCCTCAGTGGAAACCCAAGGATGTTTACAACATCGTCCCCCATCCTCCATTTTATCCTCACAATAACACCTCTGTGTAAGGTTGCCAGGTCCTCTCTGGCTTCCAGTGGGGGGCTCCCAGGTCCGTTCCAGGATCTTGCCCATGTTGGGTGGTGGTGGTTGTGACACTCTAGTTTATGGGCAAAAGTCTATGGTTTGAGCCCAATTATACCATTGAAGGTCAAAGAAGACGGGGATGGCAAAGGATAAGATGGTTAGACAGTGTCATAGATGCAACAAACATGAAATTGAGCAAACTTCAGAGGACAGCGGAAGACAGGAAGGCCTGGCGTGATCTGGTCCATGGGGTCGCGAAGAGTCGGACTCGACTGTGCGACTAAACAACAACATACTATAGTGTTTTGCCCAAAAACTACAGCGTCACCCCCTGATGTCAGCGACATGATGACATTGCTTCCAGGTGGCATCATTAGGTCGTGTTGGGGGCCATTTGTGGGTGAGTTCCCCCCACTGGCCAGCTGGCCAGCAGCGGAAAGGGGCCTGCAAAAGCAAGGGAACCCCTGCCCTGGACTGGGGGGGCAGGCAGCCATACCTCTGAGGGGAATGTTAGTGAATAAGAGCGACTGGCCCAAGGTCATCTAGGGAGCTTCCATGGCAAAGTGAAGTTCAGAACCTAGGTCTTTCCAATCCTAGTCCAACACTCTAAGCACTACACCGTGCTCTCTATTCTGTATCATTCAGAAACTTGTTTCCAAGTCTTGCTTGTCACCTCCTCCTGTGTTGCTACCAAGAGGTTCAGCTTGAGTAATCTCAGGTGGTGTCTGGGAAGCTAGAGAAGGAAAATGAGCCTATGCCTCAATCACTGCTAACAATGAGCAAGGGCTGGTAGGCTCAGATTGCCTCTGGGCCATTTAATGGCCCAATTCTGCCAGGGAAGCCACAAGAAGGACATGGAAGCAACAGCTCATCCTCGCTGTTTGCTCATCCCACTTCTGTAATTAGTGTTAAGTACTTTTTTGTCTTTGAATGTGGCAGCTCCATGTAGTCATCATGGTAAATAGTCCTTTGATAACCCATCTCTCTCTTTTTAAAGGTAGGCTATTTCTGTGGTAGTAGATTGAAACCCCCCTAGTTCTCTTTTATTTTATTAACAACAAATGTCATAAAAATGGCATCCACCATCTAATGAAATCTCAAGTGAAGTTTAAAAAGGGGAAAAGAAATAGTCATTTTTTGTCTGGGTAGAAGCAATTATTTTTAAAAGGCCTTTTCTGACTTTTGATATAGCATTTGCTCAGATGGGCTTGGTGAACTATTTTATGAACACAAAGCATAACAGAAGTCCTATATAGGTTTAGCTGCATTTCTTTATAAAAATCAAGCTGAAATGATTATATCTTCAACAGTGGCTCTGAGCAAGAGATAGGTGTTTTACTTCGATTTATAGCTATACTTATGTGGTGATTTAGTGGGTGGCAAGCTTGTCACTGTGTTAGCAATTGAAGTATTGCCCCAGAACACTGGCAAAGGGCACTGTGTTACTGGAGATGCTGTCTTATATAGGGATGTAAAATTACTATTTTTATATTATTTAAAAATGTTTCTCCCATTTCTTCATAGCACCCAGTAGCTAACAAAGAACACTTAACCAAAATGCTATGGAAAAAACACAAATTATCACTACAAACAGAACACCATTTCAGTTTCCAAAGCCTATAGGAAATAGACAGCTGTATAAACCTTGCCAAAGAAGGGATCTAATGCATCTCCTCCGGTAAGCCATGTGCGTGTCCCTTTCTGGTAGCCCATTGTGCCTTTAATTTATTTTATTTATTGATTATTCAAATTTATATTCTGCCCTCCCTGCAAACAGGCTCAGGGTAGATCACAGCAAAATATCAAAACATATCAAAATTTCAAACATATAAAGTATAAATATAGACAGTTTAAAACAACATAATTAAAATGAAGGTTTCCAGCTGGCGCCATTGGTTTCTTAAACTTCTTAACCTGGGCCACTTGAGATGGTAGGTTCATCTTCAGCAGCGGTGTGTGTGTGAGATTTTATTGGAAGCCCACTACCTGAGCCAAATTCTTGGCAGAACAGCTCCATTCTGCAGGCCCTGTGGAATGGTAACAAATCCCACAAGGCCCTGATCTCAGGTGAGAGCATGTTCCACTAGGCTGGGGTTAGGGCAGAAAATGCCATGGCCCTGGTCGAGGCTAAGCGGACATCCTTTGGGCTGGGGATCACCAGTACGTCTTGATTCGCAGAGCGCAAAGCTCTCCCGGGCACATATGGGGAGAGGTGTTCCCTCAGGTATGTCGGTCCCAGGCAGCGCAGGGTTTTAAAGGTTAATACCAATACTTTAAAGTGGATCTGGTACTCAACTGGTAGCCAGTGCAATTGGCGTAGCACTGGGCCGAATGTGTGCCCGCACAGGCGATGCAGTCAGCAGGTGAGCTGCTGCATTTTGCACTAGCTGGAGTTTCCGGATCAGCCGCAAAGGCAAGCCCACATAAAGCAAGTTACAGTAATCAAGTCTGGGAGTGACAATGGAGGCCCAGGTGGCAGCCACTGCCAGATCTGCATTTTACCATCTGAGGCAGATCCGGCAGTTGGCCCCCTTCCTCGACCGCGATGACCTGGCTACAGTGATCCATGCGATGATCACCTCAAGGCTAGACTACTGTAATGCTCTCTACATGGGGCTGCCTTTGTCGCAGATCCGGAAGCTGCAGCTAGTGCAGAATGCGGCAGCCAGGCTGCTGATGGGTCTCCCCAAGTGGGAGCACATCCGGCCTGGGTTGAAAGCGCTGCATTGGCTGCCAATAGCATACTGAATCCGCTTCAAAGTGCTTGTACTCACCTTTAAAGCCCAACAAGGCCAGGGCCCGACTTACCTGAGGGACCGCCTTTCCCCATATATGCCCCCAAGAGCACTTCGGTCGGGGACCCAATACCGCCTGGTGATCCCAGTCCCCAGGGAGGTAAAGCTTGCTGAGACCAGGGCTAGATCCTTTTCAGTGGCGGCCCCTACCTGGTGGAACGAGCTCCCGGAGGAGATCAGGGCCCTGCGGGACCTTATGCAGTTCTGCAGGGCCTGCAAGACGGAGCTCTTCCGCCAGGCTTTTGGATAGGGGCCGCCGCTGCCACCACCACCAATGGTGGCGATACCATCGGGATTAGGAATTGTCCTTGGAAGTTCCGCCATAAATTGCATGGCACTGACAATGTGGGATTGGCTCGAACTATCTGCTGGACAGTGCCACCCCAATAGGGAGGATTGAGGATACCATCAAAACCACTCAAGACCACCTTGTTTACAGAAAGCACTTTATTATTGTTATTAGTATTCATGATTTTACTGTTTTATCTGGTTTTATGTATGGGGTTATGCCCCTTGTAAGCCGCCCTGAGCCCGTTTGCGGGGAGGGCGGGGTAAAAATGCCTAAATAAATAAAATTGCATGGGTCACTGTAGCCAAGCTGGGGGGGAGGGGAGAGGTAGGGAGCCAGCTGCCAGATCTACCGAAGGTGGTAAAAGGCAGATGTGGACACTGTGGTGACCTGGGCATGCATAGAAAGCAAGGCATCCAGGACCACCCCCAGGCTCCTCACCTTCTGGGATGGCACATGTACTGCACCGTCCAGGGTAGGTAGCCTTATTCCTGATTCAACCCCCCCCCTCCAGCTCAGGTACAGGACCTCCATCTTTGTTGGATTAAGTTTCAACTGGCTCTGCTGTAACCATCCAGCCATGGCCTCCAAAGCCCTGCTCAGATTCTCTGAGGGAGAATCAGGGCAGCCATCCATCAACAAATAGAGCTGGGTGTCATCTGCGTACTGGTGACAACCCATCCCAAACCTCCGGACCAGATGGGCAAGGGGGTGCATGTAACACTTTCTTGGCCCATCTCTAGCTTTCTTCATGTTAAGTGGAGATTTGCTCCGTTCTCAAGAAAAGCAGGGCAGTGTTGAGCAATAAGTAAGCTAAAAAGGGAGTTTGGGGTAAGTTCAAAACTCTGTGCTTTGAAAATGTGATGCATACATTTGGGGCATCTGGATTTTCATATGCAAATCTGGAATTTGAGTAAGACTCCAATTACTTTCCAAGCAAAATTAATTTCAGCTCCAGTCTGAATATTAACAGCTGGCAATTATAATGTATGTTGCTGGGAAGGAGAAGATGCAGCCTCCTTCACCTTTTGGTCCTCCAGTCCATAACAAGGGCCAGGCTGTCCATCCCCTTACTATTGCAGCCCCAAGCTAACCAACAGCAATTGGATACCTACCACAGCATACCTTTGTTTGTATCTCTAAGTAACATTTCCCATCAAATAGAGGGAATCCAGTGAGAAGTGTTTACTAATACCCATGGCCTCTGCAAAGCAGTACTGATCTGAGTGAGCCTGTAGTACAAAAGTCCAGTTCTATAAATCACTAAGGGTTGTTCACACATGCAGGTTCATCAGTTGAATGGAACACTGCAGATACAACAGAGTCAGAGCTTATCCAGACACAGTACTTTAGGACAGCAATTCTGAATCTTTTTTAGGATGGTGACCCCCAAGTCCAGATTTACTTGGTATGAAGACCTATCCAGGCCTGGATTCGGGTTTTCTTTTTTGGGGGGTGGGGGGTGCCCTAGGAAAACTATGATCTTGGCACCCATCTAGTTCAGCATGCCATTTTCTGCATTGGCTAACTAGATTTGTTTGAGAAATCATCAAACATTGCACAAAGGGTACGGCTGCCCCCACTATAAACCCCAAGGAAGTGGCATTCCAACATATACATATAGAGGTTACATTCCAAAATTGACCACCCCCTCTTTCTTCATTCTACTATCTAAACCCACCTAAAATTCTAAAAAACTCAGTCCTAGTAACTATCAAAACACGTTTTACTTGAGCAACATACTTTTCAGTGAAGAAAAAATGTTAACTAATGTATGACATGGAAGATAATGCTTCAAAGGTCAGATCTTGGTTTCCAGAGTATAAAAGAGAATAATGGAAAGGGCAGGGGCTCCGTTAGGGAGGACTGGCCAGTGACCTATTTTCAGAGGCTTTGGGACCCACAGATTGGGAAACACTGCTCCCCTAGCAGAAATTTAATTGTTAAAGTGCTATAAAATCTGATAAATCTGTCTTAATAAAATTGCTGTTGCAGGCAATCCTTAATGTCAGTGGTATGGGGCATCAGGTGATAATATTTGACTTTTCTACCGTAAGAAGTATGTGGGAGATTCGGGTTAAGAAGCACAAAGAACGGCAAAAAAAGGAGAAGGAAAGACTGACCCAAAGCGCACTAGAAAAGTAAGAAAACATTTCTTTCTTTTTAATGTATTTGAATTATAAATGAAACAATTGATTACTCATAGATGTCATAATTGTTTCAATATTTTTTATTTGAAGAGAATTTACACCATTGTACTGTGTATTTTAATGCTTTGCTAATTTAACCCACTAGAAGCACAATACCTGTTTACTACATTATCCATAAACTTAGCTCCTTCAGAGCACCATCTTAAAATGCTTTCAGTTTTTAGCTCACATCGTTAAATTTTGGGATAATTGTGGTGCATAAACAATTGGGAGCAACTGTGAAAAGTCACTGTTTATTGGGGAAAACCTTTACCAGATCCTATAGTTATCGGAACAGAAGAGGAACTCAGCTGAATTTTATCAAAGATTCATTATTGAGTCCTGTTTGAGGAGTGGCTAGCCAGGTGCTTCCATGAAGCCCACAAGTTGGGCTTCCATATAGCAACATTAGGTTACATCCAAAGTTTCTGTTCAACTAACAGTGCAGACTTCCTATGGCAAAAAGAGCCCTCCATCAATCGAACATGTTGCTTCTTCAAGAACAAAGATCCTTGCACCAGTGTTGGAAGAAGGCTCCAACATTAGTAGAGCGGAAACATAGAACTCTCATGAGGTCTTCCCACCAGACATCATAGACCTGCTCAGGGTCTTCAATGTAGCTTTGTCATATGAAGAAGAGTGGAATTTATACCCTGTCCTTCACAGAGTGGCTTACAATCTCCCTTCCTCTCCCCACAACAGAGGTATGTGGGGATGAGAGAGCTCTGAGAGAACTGCTCTTGAGAGAACAGCTCTGAGAGAACTGCGACTGACCCAAGGTCACCCAGCTGGCTGCATGTGAAGGAGTGGGGAATCCAACCCGGTTCTCCAGATTAGAGTCTGCTGCTCTCAACCACTATACCAAACTATGCTCTCCAGTGGTGCCCCCCCAATGGTGTTCCAAAAAACACAGTATTATAAGAAATTTGTATACATTAAAACATTCTGCATTTTAAAAACCACTATCGTTCTCTCAGTACCATTGATCAAAAGTTTTTTTCCTGCTAAAGATAGAAAATGTTTCAGCTACACATCCAGTCTCCTCAAATTGTAATGCTGATGTTACTATTGTGAAAGGCAACTCATATAAAAGAGTGGGTTTGCCACTTGAGATTGTTCTGCAGTGATAAGCCCCAGAAGAAATGGCTCTGTGAGGTTGATTTTGACATTGTTTTCATATACTTCTAAATTTCTTGTACACTCATGGAAGTTAACATATCATGGCATTGTTACTGACATATGAATTACTAAATCATTTCTGATCAATGGATGCCTGTCAAAATATCGCCTGTTTTACTTCCATTCTTCAGTGAGCCTATGTCTGGAAGTTGTGTGTGTAAAAAAAAGAAAAGAAAATAAGATGAATAGTATGAATTAATTGCTGATCAATGTCTGGATCCTGTCAAAAGATGCATGCTGGCCTTATCTGAAAGCAGTTCATCTAAAGTTACAAATCACTGATTGAATTTAAAGTATGGCCTGTGGAGGTGGGGGAGAGTGAAAGCAGAATTACCGTTTTCACTGAGTTTTCCCTTCTGGGTCAAAAAGGACGTTTTTAACTATTCTCTCCCTTTGTACTGAAAAAGAAAAAATATGATCAGTACTTTGTGTCAGTCTCTGTGACGTAATTCATTAGGTATGTAAACACAGCCATAAAGTATGCCTCAGAGATTTGTTTCTTCTGTGCCCACATAACTTATATTAAATTTGTTCCCTCAGACATCTGTCTTCCAGTTAATATTCTCATGCTACATCACATTTCCCCCTAGGCGGCTTCATTGTACTCAGACTCAGTACTGCTGCAGATATTTGACTGCCTGGGCTCAAGACAAGCAGTCATTTCTTACTTTTTTCATAGGTTTCTCTGAACTAACACAGCATTCTTTCCATCTCCTTCCATGCCAACTTGTACACATGTGTTTAAACAGCATAATTACAGTACAGATTTTCTGAAGCATGTAACATGCTTAACCAATGGTAAGGGCTTGAGGGACATGAACTAACACAGATAGTTATTTCTAATTTCTTCTTATCTGTTTACATGAGACATAAAAAAGCCCTGCAGCCATAACATTAGAGGTACAAGGCAACCTACTAGCAAGGGGGCAAGATCAAGAGCATTGGTCTGGCTGTAACTGTTCATGCTGGTCTACGTATGTTTGCTCCAGTGTGGGAGCAAATGGTCATATGTAGGCTGCATCCCCATGGTCAGGCAAGTTCAGAAAGCAGTGATCCCGATCATGTGGACAGAGCTTACGTACTTTGGTGCTGTGTCTTTGAGAGGAACAGGCATAGGTGGGGGCACGGACCGCACACTTGGTCACAGGCAGAAGGGCAGAAAGTTAAGCCGGTTCCCCCCACCTCCACCACCACTATGTGCATTGACTTTGTATACATGGAAACGTTGCTGCATTTTCAAAATGATAATATTGCACTGAAGGAAAAGCCCAGGCTTCATAGTATAGAAAGTGCTGCATGTGAACAGCTAAAACATTTTATATGTATTTATTTAAAACATTTATCAGCCACCTTCCTCCTTGTGGGACTCAAGGTACCTTACAGTATAGATAAAATATTATAAAAACTCAGTAAAAACAATTATAAAACACATGAAGGTCAGATGGAAGCATGCTTATATTTTTCCAAGTGCCAAATGGACATTACAAAACATATGTGTTTATACTGTAGTGAAGATGTTTTAGATATATTAATGAAATAACTAATACAATAATTGAGCAAGGGTGCTGTCGTCATTTGTGGTGTCACGGTGTCCCTCCCTTTTTCTTTTCTTTTGTTGTTGTTGTTGAACATGCTCTGTATCAATATACTGCTAGAAGAGAGGTTAGGCATACATGTCACCATATGTCCTTGTGAAAAAATATGGAAAAATTCCTTTCATTGAAAGGTTCATCCTACTACTTGGATATCTGAGGGCTGCAAACTGATTTTAAAAAAGTTTTCCTATCAAGAAACGGTAGGCAAATGGAGAGGAGTCAGTTGTTTGCCCACGTAGTCAGTTGCTTTCAAGCAGCTGTATTTAATGTTTAGTCACTGAAGTCTGTAGCAGGCTGACAGTAATGAAGCGGACCAGTGGGGCCACTCTGTAACAGTCCCCCCAGAATCACAAGTGATAAAAAATGCCCCAAGACCCCATGAAGAGAGATCTATTGCTAGGATGTGAGTGTATAAAAAGAAATGTGAACATTTGTTGACACAAGGGATAAAAATTTCTCATTACTGAGATGGGGGAAAGAGGGCACAATCTGAGGTTGTCCCACAGCCATGGTCTAGTTGGCAGGAAGTGGGAGGGACCAACTGAAGAGCTGGACACATTACACCCATGACTTAAATCTGTTTGCTATAAAAAGATCCAGGTAAAAGTGGTTGCAAAACAACCAGGGAAAAAAAACCTGAGGAAAAATTGAGGTGAAAATGAAGAGCTCAAGAAAACGTGCAGAAAACAAGGGTAATCCAAAGCAGTATGGGGCCAGAAGTGACATAATAACACCACACAGACAACTCCATAATATCAGCAAGATTTCAATTTACAGGTAATTGGGAAAAGTTTTGTGGGTTTTTTTTTTAAAAAAGTTCAACAGTGAATCAGCTTTCCTTACCTCCCTGGAACTGAATTCTGAAAGATGGGAGCTGTTAAACTACAAAAGCTTCAGGAGTTAGCTATCTTTGTGCTTGCTTTGTGGATGGGGATACTACCAATAGAGCCTGTTGACTGCATTGAATTGTTGTGTGTACTCACTTGTAAGATGAGAGCTGATCCTTCACTTCACAAACCACTTCACAAGCCACTTGCAAAAGGTTGGTAACCAACCTGTTTATGGTTGGAAGATACATGTGCAGTAGACATGTGTCAGTGTGAAGATAGTTCACTTCTATGTGAGCCAAAATCCATACTGAAATATCTTGAATATAAGGAAGTTACCAAGTTGGTAAGCAGTGTGTCAGTGTGAAGATGGCTCATTTTCTTTTTTGAGTCCAAATCCATACAGAAATAGCCTGAACACAAGGAAGCTAGCTACTGCCTCTCACTAGTATGTAAGATAATTAGACAATGAGAGAAGTGGCCCTGGATCCCTTGAGAAATTCCAAATATGGCACAAGAGGGGACGCTTCCAGGTGATAGGGTGGAATCAGCCTTGGCCTGATCAGAAAAGTGGGGCTTCCATGGACAATTCAAGTAATTTAAATTGAATCATAGGAACAGTGAGTTCATGGTGGTAAATCCTTTCTTTGGGAATGGCTAATGGAACATTGTGCTAGTGGCTAAAGGTAGACTGACTAATTGTTGGGAATTGAGTAATGATGTGATGGCCAGACACTGGCAAGGAGAGGCTTCTTTCTGGGATACCTATTTTAATTAGAATGTTTGGGTTAGTTGCAATACTAATAGTTATGCAGGCTTTCTGCCTTTTGTCTTGATGGATGGCCAGCAAGATCCTGACACCAATATAAGAGTTAAATAGCTCCAATGTTTTAAAATGTTTTTCATGAAGAAGATGCATCATCAATTCCATATTCACTTTGGCTACCATTTTCTGTAATCTTTAGACGCTACAATATTTTTTTTGAAATAGGATGACCAGAACTATACAAAATATTCCGAAGTATTCCAGATATATACAAATATGTTTTGATGCTCACTGTTTTTATTTTCAATCTCTTTCCTCATAATCCCTAACATGGATTTTTCCTGCTGTTGCACACTGAGCTGATATTGTTATTGAATTATCCAGTTTGACTGCAAGATCTTTCCTGGATATTTACAGCTAGTTCAATTCACATCAGAGTATGTATGAAATTGTGTTGTTTTGTCCCATTGTGAATTGTTTTATATTTTCTTATATTGAGCCTCGATTTCATTGCCAGTTCATCCAGTTTGGAGAAACCATTGTGGAGCTCTCTGAAGTGTGCTTAGATTTTCACCATTGTAAAAT